ATGCTGTTATGTTGAGCTGTGGGGGACTCAGGTAAACAATCTCTGACATTGCCAGTTAAACAGAAGACCCAATGCTATTATGGACCACTGGACTCTTTTAGAATATTTTGCTGAGTTTACATACCTATAATATTCAAATAATGGAATAGAGAAAAAAAGGGGTATACAGATGAATGTCCATTTTGTATCTGTGTATTCAAAGTGGTTAGGATAGATATATAGTTGCATTCTCTTAGTGAATAGAATGATTTGTTCTAATGGTTTTTGTAAACAGGATCTCAAGTCCGCATCTTGTACAGCAATTAACTACTAAGAAGAATGTATGCAGTGTGTTAATTATTGAAACTGTACTACCGATTTGATTTGAAACTGTCTCATTGCTATTTGTTTATCAATAAAATTATGGAAAAAATTAAAGGTACATATTAGGATGCAGAAAGAAATTTTTCAAATGAAAAGATTAATAAGAAATGGAAGCAGGAGAAGAGAAAGGAAGGGAAAGGGGATTGAAGAAATGGAAATAGACCTTTGCAAATGGGAACAGGATCCACAATTAAAAGGAAGAAGGAGGGATAGAAGAGGTATGGGACAAAAAATGAATTAAGCTCTGTTGTATACGTGTACAAACTCCCCATAATAAATGTAATCATTATATACTGCAAACATGTACAAATAAATAAATTTAAAAAAAAAACATTCAAATTGGACTGGCCAAATAGCTCAGCGGATTACAGTGTCTGCTTAAGTAGATGCAGTGGCCACGGTTGGATCCCTGGCATGCAGTGCTGGCCCCGCCCCCAGGGCATGCTGAGACTACAATAGAGACTGGGCATTGTGGTGTGTGCCTGTAATCCCAGCTCTTGGGAGTTGGATCACAGGCGGATCACTATGAGTGTGATCTAAGTAGTGAGATTCTGTAGACCCTATAGACCTTGTACTAAATAAAATGAAATAAAACTAAAATAAAAAACATTCAAATTTGAAAGCCCTACAACATTCAGTAGGATGTATTTTAAGCAGAATGCCCTGAAATATGTTTGTCCCACTTATCGATTGATGCAAAAGGCATTATCTAGTTTTCTCCTCCACCCCAGACTCAGTGGATTTGTGATGGCCTGGGGTGACAAGGCACTGGCAGTGGCGCAAAGTCAACCTCAAGCCTAAGTGGATCTTGGTGATGTATGAGAGTTGGCTTGGGAGAGCAAGGGCATGTGACCCCATCAAACAGTCTTCAGTCTGCACTCCTAGCTATTAGTTCACAGAAGTGGATCTTTTTAAGTGGTAGTGGGAAGAGCAGGAAAGGACAACAGAACCAGAGGCAGCTCAGAGGACATGAGCATTTTGTGAAAGAAAACATCCACATTGTCTGTTGTTAGGGTCACGAAAGTACAAAATGTGAGAGGCATTCCATCAAGCTATTATCAGCCAGTAAAACTATGGGTGGAAAGTATGAAAGGAACGAGGATAATAAGTTTGGATTTTGGAATGGAAGAATACACAGGACATCTATAGTGGTAAGAAACAGGATGAAGGATACTGGATATTCCCATGCAAAAGAGAAAAGAGAGGGCAAAACTGAGGGGCAATGATAGTACCTGCAATTGCTGAGATAAAAAGCTGGAGGTGAATCCAGGCAGGAGACTATGTTCCTGTCCATCCAGTCCAGGCCCTTGTGCTTACCCTCAGTAAACAGACTGCAGGACCTGGGCCTGCTCCTGGGGATGGTTCCACGCCATCTCACAGACTTAAGGAGGCCCAATGTAGGAGCTGAGTCCCAGTAAGTGACAAAGCTCGACTGCCGCATCCTGGCAGCCAGTGGGGGTCCCGCACATCCCGGGGCTCAACCCTCAGCAGACATACCTGTCTCAGGATGGACCTGAAAACCAGGTACCGCAGCCGCTTGGTGAGAATCTCTCCAGCTTTGCCAAATGTGAAGCCCTATAAGGAAAAAGAACAGGTCACACAGGAGGACTGTCAGAAACTCTGACACCCAGGAGCACAAAAAGAAGGGGGCCTGACATCATAGACAAGGCAGGACAAAGGTGGCAAAGCCTGATTTCCAGAACTGGATACACTCCTGTCACTGTGTGCTACAGAGCACAGTGCAAGGGTACACTGGTGTGTAGGCAACAGTCAGATTTTGAAGTTGGCACTGCTGCTCCCAGAAAGCTGACAGGCTAGCCAGAGATTTACAGAAAACATGTGTCTTTGATTCTCACTCCCAGACTCACTTACTTCCTCAGTGAATCTATCACTCAGGAAGTTGGTATTTTTCCAAGAGTGAGGGGCTATAGCATTATCTTCTAACTTGGGACCCTTGTAAGAATGAAAAGGGCACATTTATCATTAAGCAAGAACTTAAAGTACAGTCTAGGAAAACCTGAATTTATAGTCACAGCAGCCTTTAAAAGATAGAGAATACAAAATTACCAAATACTTTTTTTTTTTGACAGTACTGAGGATGGATCCACGGCTGCAGGACCGAGTTATAATGCCAGCCTTTTTATTTATTTATAGTTTGTATTTCAAATCAGGGTGTTTCAAAGTTGCACAGAATAGCATTCAACTTGTGATCCTCCTTCCTCACCCTCAAACACTTTTTACTTAGCGAAGTAAAAAGAAAAGCCCAATGTTCCAGGGAAGAACAGGTAGAGGTAGAGGCTCACTCAGAGAATTCTCTCCACTGTTCTTTCCCATGATTTTAGGTTCTAATAATTTATGTCTGGGAGGAGGGAATGGTTTGTGGGAAAGTATAAAGTAAGATGTGAGCACGCTGCCAAGCTAAGCATAGCTGTGGAAGAATCCTCAGTCTGATGGGTCTCCTTGCATGGACAATATGTATTACCATAAGAGGTCATGCTCCTCCTTCCTGTAGAACCAGGAAATAACAGCTAGCACATGAGACCTGCCATGTAAGGTCTGGGGAAGCAGAAGAAAGTGGTTGTGTGGCTCATCAGAAGAGGAGAAGCCCTGATAACAATCCTGCTCTTGCAGAATCAGAGAAACACAAGATCATATCCAAACCTTCACTGTACTCTCAAACACCAGGCTGGACATTACTGAGGGGGGAAGAAGAAACACACACAAAGGACATGGGTGAAGAAAGGGATATCTCTACAATGTAAGGTGGGGGGATGAATAACTGAAGGCTGTATGTGGCCATGGAACTAGCACGATGGGTGTTTCACAATGTCCACAGACCAGCACCCTGCCCACAAATTGCAATGCTGTGTAACCCTCTGCTAATAGATATTGTCCATGCAAGAATGGAGGAGAAAAAGGAATCCTAGATTAGGTGAGGTTAATCCTAAAACTATTAATGCCTACATTATTTAGGATGATCTCATAGGGTTTCTACTGTTGGACTAACTGAAATGTGATGTGGCTTGTCCACTTCAGGAAAATAACTCCCATTATTATTGTAGAGAGATATCCTTACTGATGTTATACTTTGAATATATTAGCTCTTCAAAGCTTCATTATAGCCCTCATGTTTCAGATGAAGCTGAAGTTTACAGAGGCTGATAAGCTTTCAGAGACCAAAATCATAAGCGAGAGAGCTGAATTTAAATAGTTGATGAGAATAAAATCTGACTTTACAAATGGTTCCTAAAGATTTGAGGACTGACATTTTTTATCATTAAAAGTTTTGTTTTCCTTTAGCAAAAGATGAATGATAAATTCTTTACTTTTCAAACAAGCGCCGCCTCCTTAGGAAATTTTCTTTCTTGTGGTTTTTATAATATAGGAAGACTTGTTTTTGAGTATTAAAATTGGTCATCAGTTACTTACACCCAAATTATATCCAGAGCTTCCTCAAAGCTTTTCTGATGTCCCACCTTTGATTTTCAGTCACCGTGTGAGAGTAAATAATCTATTCCCTCTAATTGCATCAATATTTCTAGGGGCCAGGGAGATGGCTCAGT